CCAATCCAATCCAATCCAAAATTATGATTCTGGCAACCTCACAGCATATCATACACAAAAAATAGACCACATACAGCAAGTAGCATTGAACCTTAAGAAGTCAAACTTTATTTTGCCCAAAGCATAACTGTTACCTGGAGTGCTTCTAAGCTTACTGAAGCGCTTGTTAACTGTTTGGAATAATGAAGTAAGGTATATAAAACTCCAGATTCCCGTTGACCATCAACAAATCCTGGAAATCCATATTACCGTACATATACATCTGTCAAACTCTAGATCACAGAGTATATGATTCATGAAATCAGAAAGAGAAATATAATCAAGAGAGGTGAAGTTATCCGTCTCCATGGATGAACTGAAGTTTCGTAGACGGAGAGGCCTTAACAAAAAATATGCAAAGAGGAGTGCTCCATCCTCAAATAAGGGCAATTCTAAAGAGTAAAGATTGTAGCTCTAAAGGTTTTGCATTCCCTTGCATCCAAAAGCACTAAAATTAACAATAAAGCAGATGGCCAGTATTCTCCCATCTTAGTCACACCAAACCTCTCAACTTACAAGAAGCACCATCCCAAAGAATGAAAACATGGAATTTCCCACCCTATTACCCAACACAAGTAGCATGGTAAATTCAAACACAAAAAACTAACCTGTTGAAGCTTCCACTATAAGAAAGTTGTAGACATGTACAGAGGATGGTGAAACAGAAAGAGCTACTGTCAAGCAATTAATAGCAGCTGCCTGAAAACGACAAGAAGAAATTGTACTTAGGTTTCATCTGTATCCTTTCTCTTGTTGGAATAAAATACCATTGCACAAATAACAAAAAAGGACTGTTAATTGATTTGGAAAAATCTCTGTTTCTCATATATATTCACCAATGGGTACACACACATATATACATGAAAAGAATATTTCTCAATAGGAAATAATCCTCTCTAATAAGGAAATAATTCTGGACTTTATATTCCTATCATACATCACGATTATTCCTAAATTAGGCACACAGTTCATAACACTCTTCATCAAGCTGGAGCATAAATATTAATCATACCCAACTTGTTACAAATATAATTTACTCGAGTTCCAACTAACGCTTTAGTGAACATATCAGCTAATTGATCCCTGTCCTGACATGCTTGGTCGAAATCAACCCTTGCGGTTACTTTTCACGAACATGGAAATAGGAGCTGTATTAGCAATTATTTCCTTCTTTCAATCATAATTAAATCTGATTTGGTTATGATTGATTTATTGTATATTTAGATAAGAGGTAAATTAGTCTGATTGATTGGTTGTATATTTAAATAAGATGTAAATTAGTTATTTCCTTATTTGTAGAGATCTACTTGTGCATATATACATGGCTTTTCAGCCAAGAGAAATAAGATTTCAATTTATTCAAATCTTCATGGTATCAAAGCCGACTTTGAAAACTTAAAAAAAAAAAAATAATAATAATAATAATAATAATAATGATAATAATAATAACAATAATAATAATAATTCTGTCATGACCGTCGAGAAGACCTCATCTTCGAAAATCATCCCGAGTTCTATCAACCTTCCAGGAGCCACCGATGGGTCGTCATTCTCCATCACCGACCACAAATTAAATGGCTAGAATTATTTACAATGGTCCCAATCTGTTCTAATATTTATATCCGGCAAAGGAAGAGATGAGCATCTTACCGGAGAAACAGCCCAGCGAAAAAAGGAAGAGCCCACTTACCGAGCATGGAAGATCGAAAATAATCAACTCATGCCATGGCTTCTTAACTCCATGACCAATGAAATAGGTGAAAATTTTCTCCCGTACGAAACAGCTATAGAAATCTGGAAAGCAGTAAAGGAGGCGTACTCACATGTGCAAAACACTTTGGAGTTATTCAACATTGAGTGTCTCCTCCATGATCAGCGAAAAAATAGACACTCCTGGGGGGATGCCAATCTCACTGCCGCATTCTTGATAAATCGGATGCCATCTCGTGTTCTCAAATTTCAAACTCCATTCCAAATTCTCCTAAAGTATTTTCCTTCCTCACGAATTTTGTCCACAATACCCCTCAAAGTGTTCGGTTGCACCTCATTTGTTTATGTTTACCATCACAATCGTGGGAAACTTGATCCTCGAGCTATCAAATGCATCTTTTTGGGATATTCTCTACATCAAAAGGGATACAAGTGTTATTCTCCTATCACTAAACGATACTATCACTCCATGGATGTTTCATTCTTTGAGAATCAACCTTATTATCCCAATACCACCATTCAGGAGGAGAGTGAATATGAGAAGGAATGTTTGTCTTAGGATATTAAGTCCTCGCCAATCCACTCAGTCCCTAGTTTTGTCAACAATGCACCTGAAGCCGAAGTCCAAAGCGTCAATCCTACTCCTCCTATATCCTCACCTAATCCTCAATCGTCAGATTTACCTACAAACAAAGAGCTACATGTCTATTCTAGGAGAGAGAGGGCTTAACATCAAAATCAGGGAGAACATCAAACACTACCTGAACACAACCAAGAGTCCAATCCGAATCGAAGGAATGAAGGTAACACTTATTCTGAAATTTCGAGTGAACCTTGTCAGGATGATTTGAGTTGGCCAATTGCACTAAGGAAAGGAGTAAGATCATGCACTCAACACCCACTTCATAACTATATGTCTTACTTGGGTCTTTCACAGAAATTTCGTGCTTTTGTCACTAGTTTGGATGCTATCCAGGTCCCTACTAGCATCCAAGAAGCTCTCAAAGATTCATTGTAAAAGGCAACCGTTTTTTAAGAAATTCAATCACTGAAAAATAATCAAACATGGGAAATCACTGATTTGCCTCCACAGAAGAATCTAGTGGGATGCAAATGGATTTTCACTGTGAAATACAAAGAAGATGGGAGTATTAACAGATACAAAGCTCGGCTCGTGGCAAAAGGATTTACTCAGTCTTACGGTATTGATTACCAAGAGACATTTGCTCATGTTGCCAAACTCAACATTATAAGAATTCTACTATCTCTAGCTGCTAACCTAGACTAGCCCTTCCTTTAGTTAGATGTGAAGAATGCATTCCTAAACGGAGACCTGGCAGAAGAAGTGTATATAAAGATTTCCTCAGGCTTCGAAAATAAAGACACACAAAACAAAGTCTGCAAACAAAAAGGATCCCTCTATGGACTTAAACAATCACTGAGGGCATGGTTCGACAGAATTACAAAGGTGGTAAAACTTCATGGCTATTCTCAATAGCAAGCTAATCATACCTTATTCGTGAAAAGATCACTAGACGGTAAAATGTCTATCCTAATAGTGTACGTGGATGATATAATAGTTACAGGTGACTTCACAGATGAGATGATTGAGGTAAAGAAGAATCTTGCTAACTAATTTGATATTAAAGATCTAGGAAATCTCAAGTATTCCCTCGGAATGGAAGTGGCCAGATCAAGTACAAGAATCTCTGTTTCACAAAGAAAGTATGTCTTAGATTTACTCAACGAGTGTGGAATGCTAGGATGCAAACCAGTGGACACTCCTATGGAGACTACTTAAAAGTTCAAAATGGCAGAGATGGGTGTTCCGATGGATAAAGGAAGACATCAGAGGTTAGTAGGCAGACTCATCTACCTCTCACATACTCACCCACACATTAGTTTTTCTGTTAGTGTTTTGAGTTAATTCATGAATAACCCAAGAGAAGAACACATGGAGGCGATCAACCGGATCCTGAGATACTTGAATTTAATCCCTCGTAAAGGGTTATTCTTCAACAAAGGCTCCAGCCGAGAGATGTAAATTTACAGTGATGCTAATTGGATGGGTTCGGTTACAGACCGAAGATCTACATTTGGTTATTGTACCTATGTGAGGGAAATCTAGTCACCTGGAGGAGCAAGAAACAATCGGTGGTATCAAGAAGCAGCGCTGAATCCGAGGTTTGAGCTATGGCTCAAGGCATATGTGAAGGAAAGTGGATTAGAAGACTTCTTGAAGAACTCAAAGTAGCATTCAAGGAACCTATGAAGCTTTTTTGTGAGAATCAATCAGCCATCAGCATATTTAAAAACCCGATTCTTCATGACAAAACTAAACACGTGGAGATTGATCGTCACTTTGTTAAAGAGAAGATTGAAGACAATGTCATCAAACTTATCTACACACCAACCAACTCCCAAGTTGCAGACATACTAAGGTCCTACCTCGGAAAGGATTCGAAGACCTAAGTTCCAAGTTTAGGATGAAAAATATCTTCAGCCCAGCTTGAGGGGGAGTGGGGAAATAGGAGCTGTATTAGCAATTATTTCCTTATTTCAGTCATAATTAAATCTGATTTGGTTATGATT